TCCTAAAAATGACTTCTTCAGAAAGTGCAGGAGTGATAGTTACCTGAAACCAAGGCCAGGGAGTTTGAACTCAGAGAAATTACTGTGGAAAGGATTTGTATATACATCCATCTATGTTTTTCTTTTTATGTAGATGTGTATATATGTTTAGATGTGTATCTGTGTGTGTATATAGAATGTGTTCCGCTCCATGTATCAGTGGTGATTGTTGAGGATAAGCTAACGATATCGTTCTTGTTAAACGTGATTTGCAAGATTACCAATTCTTTTCACTGATGGAGATCTCAGCACTAAATAACCAGAGTATTTCAGATACACAGATCAGTGCTTTGTTCAACAAGGTCAGCTTCAGCTTTCTTCCCTCTTGCTGTGTTGGGATGAAGGAAATAAAGCAAAATGCTAATGTCAGCGGCAAAACTACCTTACTTGGAAGGATCAAGTAATGCAGATAGAAATGGCAGTGATTCGTAATAAACATAGTTGCAGCTGGAGTCTTTCTGGAGGAAGGCAAAGACAACCGAAGTTTGTCACTTTAGACAGTGGGTGTAATATTAAGTAGCTTTTCAGAAAGATTTGAATTCTGTATTTGTTGCAATATATGTATGTATTGATAGGTAAGAGGAACGTTTAGTGTCCCTTGGATTTCTAGAACGTTCAGTGAAGAGATTTTCTTAACATAGAAAGCTGTTTGCTGATATTGCTGAGAGTCTTCATTTCACAGCCTGCCCTGGGAGACTGGAGGGTGGGAGCTTCCCTTCCTGTTCTGGCCTTCCATTCTGTCATCTGAGAGCTAATAATAATACTGTAATGAAATCGTGGCTTGAGAAAGGGTAAGCATCTTGAAAAGGATGTGTGTGCCCCATCCAAAGAATCTTGACACTAAAGACTATCAAAAATTGCCATTTGTTATCCTAGGAACCCACCTCTAAGAGTCAATTTAAAAAATATATGTTTTCTGTGGTTTTGACAGTCTGTTCTGTGGTAGAATATAATGGAAGTGATAAACATTAAGTTACATTGTTGATTAAAAGAATTATTCCTATATGGGAAGAATAATTTTAAATATTTACTTGGTAAATGTCTATTGAAATGTAAACTTGGACATGGAACTAGAATGTTTTTCTTTGCTTTTTGAAATAGGTATAAAAGTGAATGCCTAGTTGGTTCTTCAAGTGTATGATAACAGAGCATTGCTCATTGATCATTACAGTCTGAACTCACACACAGTATTAGTGGTAAAGGATGATCTAGGTTTGTGTAATCTGACTAGAATGAGTTTCATTTATTTCCTTTTTTTTTGTTTTCCTGCTGGAGTCAGCAAAGTCTTGTTAAATAGCTATAATTACATATATCTCTTGGTAATGATGAATTTATATTTGCATCTGGCTAAAATTTTTTATCTCAGCTAAATAGGTTTGTTTCAAATTATTTACAGTTTAAAAAGGCATTTTTAACACTAACATTTACCTTGCCGAACTAGCCATAAACAGAATTTATAGGGAAAGTATTTACTGCATTTTCTGTCTGTACAGCTGCTAGAAATGGGGTAGTAAACTTGGAGATTTTTCTGAGCTCGTGTTGCAGTAAAGCTATAATTTTATCACAAGACCAGGGTGAATTATCGTCTTTGTTATAAAAATAGGGCAACTGCATAAATTAAAAAATAAATTCATAGTTGAGCAAGAGGTGTTATCATAGAGTTTCCAGAGAAAGAAGCACAGGCTTTTAGATAACAAGTCCAGTCTCTTATTGGAGAGCTTGAAATTTACTTTCACGCTCAGCCTTTCCACAGCAGTTGGCAGACACTCATTACTCTCTCTCTCTTATTCCCGCTCCCTTGAGTCACCTGTTTATACAGCCACTCTTCTGCCAGTGACTGAAGTTTGTCTTAAGAAGGCTGATATATCATCAATACTAACCTTGGTGTTCCAAGGTAAGGATTTTGTGTAGCAAGCACCAGAGAGAGAACCTACATGTGGTATCTGTAATTTCATTGTAGTAAAATGCATAGTTGGCTGTCTGTAAACAAAAGCTTCTCTCTGGTGAATAGAAAAAAAAACAAAACAAAACATCAGTGCTATTAATTTACTCAGTGCAATGGATTTACGTATTGACTTCTTGAAGTAGTTGGACACCTTCCATTTGATAGAAGACAATGACAGAACGGCAGTCAAGATCCTTGTATCTCAAAGTAAATATCCCTGTACAAAGAATTTCTTTAGTGTTTTATCTTCCTCCGTGGTATGTAAAGGACTGGGAATGGATCATAAAAGCCAAAAGCTTAAGAAGTCTTTGTTTTCCTGATTTTAGATTGATGCTTTTTATCTCTTACTTTGACGGAGAGAGAAAATCCAGAAAAGCAAACTGAGATCGGAAACTGGAGAAAACGGTTTCCCAGACAAACTTTGATGTTACTGGTTTCTAACTCCTAGTCAGTGATTTTATGATGTAAGTAATGAGATTAAAATATGAGAAAAGATTATTAAAATGATTCAAAGTACTCTTACGTAGTTCATGTGTCTCATACAGACTTTTCTTCTTAAAAGAAGTTGGGCAATCAAGTAATATGGATTAGCTGAGAGATTTGTCTGCTGAAGAATATTTGCAATATATATGTCCATGAACAATAAAGACAAAATATTTAACTGTTGAAAGATCAACATTTTTTTTAAATCCTTTGGCTTTGCATTTTATTTGTTCAACACTTCCTTAATGGAATTAAGAGGTATTTTAGTTGTGGCCTTTATGATGCCCTGTTGTGGCTGAACTAAACGAGAATGAAGGACACAATTCTGACAGTTGCTACAGGAGGTTTGCTTTCTGCTACATACTATTAGGCTATCAATCACACACCTTGTTTCTCCTAATGTTGAGTTTCAGTTGAGTGAAATACTCTGGCCAGAATGAAGTCAAGTCAGACTGGATCTTTGATAGCCTTTTCACCTAAGCTGCTTCATATATGCTTTAACTAGTGAGTGCAATATCTTTGCATGTGCCTAGCGTGATCTGAGCTGGGTCATAAAATTTATATGTCTTATTAACGAATAAGAGAAGAAAATGACAAATTAGCAAATGACAGAAAATTAGCAAATTGGAAAATTAGCAAATGACAGAATGGATGTTGTGAGAGAGCGCCTAGTCCAGCCCACCTGTTCAAAGCAGAGGAGATTGCTCAGGACAACTGAAAGAGTCTGGCTCCATTATCTTTACTCCTCCCAGCAGATACTTAAGATACGGAAAATCCTCCCTGACCCTTTTCTTCTCCAGGCTAAACAATCCCAGCTCACTCAGCCTCTCCTGGTATGACAAATGTTGCAGTCCCTGGTCATCTTCATGGCTCATCAGTGGAATTCAGCTTGTTAACCACCAGGACCCCTGCGTCCTTCTCTGCAAAGCTGCTTTCCAGACTGTTGGCCTCCAAGCATGTAATGGTGCCTGGGTGCAGGAGTTGGCATTTCACAGCATTGATAATTGGGGGAATTCAGTATTTATGTTTACTTTTTTTTCTGTAAATTAACATTTCGTTCTGAAATAGTTTCACTATGAAAATGTTAAAATGGAACTTCCTGACAGTTACAGAATACCTGCAAGGGCAGTCATGAGAAGTTTTTTTTTCCCTCTGAACATATTTTCAGGGCAAATCCCACCGTCCTGCCCCAAATGTCAACAGCGGACTAAAGCATTCTTTGCGAAACTCCTCATCACCTTTAGCAAGTAATTATTCTTATTTATGGGATGTATTTGGTGTGTTATTTATGCAGGAGTAGTGAAATTGAAATATTTCTTAGTCTTCTCCACCTGTGTGGTTTCCAAGACCTACATTGCCAACAGTTTTTTACTTATTTAGAGCACTTGTACGTTTTTGTTGGCTTTGTGACTAAGCTCCTGATGCTTGCATGCTTTCTGCTCTGTACTTGGTCAGTAAGACTCTGGAAGTCAATGTTAGTGAATGTCTACAATAAGCAGGAATTAATAAGAAAAAAATAGAGGTTTTTGAATATTTGCTCTGATGCTTAAAAAAATAATTATTTTTAGAACTAGTGGTTTGGTTGATTTATCTTTTGGGAAATACACTGTGGCTCTTCATGGAGTAGCAGAAAACTTGTGTCACACCTTTCCTCATTCTTGGTAGAATGGAAAATCAAGAAGAGGGTCCAAGGACTGTCCATTTGGGAACGTTCGTAAGAATTAGTGTGCTTTGTGAAATGTAGAAGTCAAATTTGTTAGTCAAATTTGAACCACCAAAATAAGTGGTTCAAATTCATAGGAGATGAAGATTATCAAAATAACTGAAGGTTGTGCAAAACATTTAAAAGTTCAAGGAGAATTTTAGGAGCCCAGCTTTAAAAGCCCACTTTGCAAACCAGAGCTGTATTTCTTCATGTGTTCAAAATTTTTAATTAAGAATATATAACCAATTTTTTCATTATCAGAGGGAAACTGTAAATAAATTTTGTGAAATTGTTCTATTTCTAGGTATGTTATTGGAATTGGATGATATCGTCTTGAAGAATGATTAAATGACTTGATTCCATTAGAAATATCATAAGGAAAATACAAACTTCATTCTAGATGAAAGTGGGCAATTGTTCATTGAGCCATTTGCTGAAGGTGTCCTTAATCACGACAGAAAAAGCAAAAGCCTCTCCGCTCCACGAATGCACAGAGAGTTGCTTTATGAAATAACTTTTTGTCTCATCCAGTTTTTATTGTATTTTTATTTGAAGTTACTTAATTTTTCTTTTTACACCCCTTGAAAATAAATGTTAATTTCCTATGGAACTAGAGTTCAGAAGTGGTGGTGCATGCTGTCTTCTGCTGATGTGGTGGTACGTGTTTCCTTTTGATGTCTCTTTCTTACTAGAAACTCTCCTTCTTTTGCCCCAGTATTTTTACCACTGGATAAAAAGGCAATAGTAGACTTGAGGCTCAGGAATTTGCCATGAGAAATGCAGGATATCCTCTAAGATGAATAACCCCTGTGTTTGTAATTACTGCAGTGCTGCATATGATGCCGTCCTTGATAGAAACGTGGCCATTAAGAAGCTCAGCAGACCATTTCAGAACCAAACTCATGCCAAGCGAGCTTACAGGGAGCTGGTCCTTATGAAGTGTGTGAATCATAAAAATGTAAGTTTTCAGTACAGAACCGGATAAGTGGTATGTATATTGGTTTGTTAGAAAATAAGAAGTTGTTCAGTTTGGTGCCTTTTAAAACAGAAAAAAAATCAAAAGTAAATTATGCTTAAAGGCTGTAGTCTTTCTGGTGCTATATGGCCACATGAGAGTGTGAGGATCTTCCATGTGCTTATTTAATGGGTATGCCAAATGGAGGTACTGCTAGTAGGGCTAGGGTGATAGAAGGGGAGAGACTAGAATACATTCTTGTCAACTCCTTATCCAGAAATGCATAAGTGGTTGTTGGAATCCTGGCTTCATCCTCTTGTCACTGGGATTTGTGACACAAAAGCAGTGTCTCTTGAACTGGAGTACCCATGCACAGGCATCGCTCCTTATTCTGTAGTTCATCTGAAAGCTAGTCATGTAGATGCATTGTATAGATTGTGCAAGACGAGGGGTCGTCATGGTGAAGGTTGCTGCAAAAGCACCAAAGAAAATTAGGAACCAAAAGCACTTTTCCATTCTCGTGTATTCGTGTGTAAGCTAAAGTTGTGGAGCCAGGGACTCTGAAGCCTCAACACGTTGTGCCATTCCTTCTAATCACAGTGTTCTTGTTGAAATAAACAGCAGTAGCAGGTTCTGGACTTTCCTATTTCTTACACCTATTACCTATCGTATAACATTTAGTATCTTTAACAAATGAAAATATTCCTACACTGCAAAAGAGTTATTCCAGGGCTGTATGTTAATTGTAACAATCTATTTATTAGTTAGAACTCTCTGTCTGACCTTGTAGAAGCTTGCTTTTTTGTAGTGACATATGTAGGATTGCCCCATTGCATTGTCAAGGGGTCTCCCAAGGATTTAATTTTCGTACAATTCCTCGATTTCTCCTGTGGCTTGGTGCCATACCTGTGTGCCCCTTCCTTTTCATTAGGAGTGAATTTTTCAGTTTTTTACATGTTTACTCTTGCCTCAGATCTTTTTCTCTTTCCCCTTATGCAAAGCATAAATGAGCTGGAAAAGCATGATGTAAGGTGAGATTTGACACTTGTTCTCAATCACAAATTCACATGGAAAGAAAAAGGACTTACCCTAAAATGACAAACAGCAGGACTTATCATCTTGAGTGTCCTCTGCCCCACTTCTGGGCATTCACTTATCCTTACAGTTCCACTGTGTCGATCAAGACTGTACCTGTCTCTTCCCTATTGACTTGGATAGAAACCACCCTTGGTCAGACCAATGCATGGGGCTTTGAAAATGCAGGGTGAGTGAGTAGTTCTCCTTAGCGGCGGGAGAATGACGCATTCTCACTCTGTGTTTTTAATGGACTGGAAAAAGCAGAGGGCAGCAGGAGTGGTATTAATTTAAAATAGATAATTTAAAAAATGCTGCAGAAGAGCTGATAACAGCATGTCATTGGTTGGGTCAGAGTTTTAATCTGTCTATACAGAGAAGTGCAAAGGAAGGAGAAGATTGTAAAGGCACCTGTGTGGAGGCACAAATCAGCCAGAATATGTGGAGTAAACAGAAAGAATATTAAACCATTTGTGTTAGAAAGCCTAGAGAGGTAATGGAGGAGTGGAGGGAGACATTCAGATGTTGCCTTCATTGTGGCTCTGCTGATATCTTCTACCTCTGTTGCCCACACAGGAGGAAAGCACATGAAATTCAGATCCCTGAGGTCACGTTTTTCCTCCGTGCTGTTTCACACAGTCTTATCAGCATCTTTCAACAGCCCAGTCCATTATTTTAAAAAAAAAAAAGTAAAAAAGGAGTTGCAGTATGTGAGATGTCTTTGCCCAGAATGTGTCTACAGTTTTAAAGTTCTTCTACTAAAAAGTGGTACCTCTCCTGATGGAATTTGTGTCAACATGTGTGTTTATGTGGCTTCAAAGGAATTGAGGCCATGTCAGAGAGAAGGAAAGTCTTCTGTCTATTTTTAATAAAATGGGCCTTTATTATTTGTTCCCTCAGATGAGCATTCTTCATATATAAGAAATTTCTGACTGTAGCACAAGGACTGCTGTGCTAGATTGAGCTGAAGTTGGTCTTTGAACCTGTAACTTCAAAATTCGGAGGACTGTCTCGCCCTTAGCATCTTGGTTTGTCACTGATCACTAATCCTTCTCTCAGAAACCATTTCAAATGCACCTGGAAGAAATCTTAGAGATCTGTGATATTTTATTTTGAAAGCTGCTGACTTTTTACTGATTCGTAATGTGAGAACTGTTAGTACAAATTGAGCAGTGAAAAACCAGAGTTTATCCTTTAACATACACTTCAAAATGGGTTCATTTGCTTACTTTTATCACTTCTCTTTATCCTTTTGTTTTACTTTGCTTTTCAGATTATCAGTTTATTAAATGTCTTCACACCACAGAAATCTCTGGAGGAGTTCCAGGATGTGTAAGTAACACAGGCAGTAATTAAACTAAAGCTTTAGAGATGTGTGGGGCATTTTATTGTACCTTGTACACAATAACTCAACAACAAAAAAAAAAAGATCATGTGTAGTCTACACTGTGGGCAGACGGATGTTCTGCATTCCCATATTGAGAGCACTTTTGACACTTGTAGGGTGCCAAATACCGGGTTTCCTAAGCGCTCTAATAGCGTGCAAAATCTGCTGGTGGCTCTTCTTGAGAGGCTTAGTGTGTCTGCGCTTCCTTCAAATGCAGAGGAAGGGATAAGAGTAGTTCAAAGAGCCTGCTTTTGTGTTGTTAGTTTCCTTGGGAAATGACGGTTGTCATCTGACTCCCTGACGTGTGTGAGGTTTTGAAATGTGACACTGAATTCTGAAATAATTTCCTGTAAAAGTGGTTGATGTGAAACATTTCCTCATTTCCTATTTGTTTTGATATAACCCTTCACTGCATAAAATTATTTGCCTGGGGAACTAGTGCTGAGTGTAGAAGACAACGAGCATCTCCGTTGAACGTTGCCCTATTGCACAAGCGCTACAGTGCCCAGTATGAACCTGCCCGGAACGAAATTTTAAATATTCAATTTTTATATAGTTGTACTACTTTTATCTTTCAGTCTTTCCCATATTCTGTATACGTTGTATGGAAATGTGTTCCCGTTCTGTACTCTGATATCAGTAGTGATAACAGACAGCAATGGCTGAAGTCAGGTGACTGCTGTTCTTGTTTTGATACACGAAATTTCTGCATAATATTCTCACTGCAGGCCTGTGCAGAGCAGAGGAGTCAAGTAGTGCTGGAGAGAAGGCAAGGCATGCAGCTCACATTGAAATGGAGAGCTAGAGTTTTCCTCAAAGTTTGAGATGCTTTAATGTAATATTACAGTTACGAATTAGCTGTGCTTGTGAGATGTCTCGTAAGTAATGAGCTGATGTGGTTAACATATTAACCTACCACTAAAGGGGATTGGGTTAGTGTCCTGCTGAGATTGTCAGCGAAACTGATTTATTAGAAGTGCAAGACTAACTAGTTGCAATGAGAATTACGCAAAGTCATAGGAGGATTTTTGGAGATATTTTACATGGGGATGCATATTTTAGCCTGTCAGACATCTCTACTACTCTCCGATTCCTATGTGTACTGTGATAACCATGCCTCATAATTGTCAAAGGCCAAGCAGTCATGTCATTTGGTGTTTAAGGCTCTTCTGTTTTCTGCATGTTTTGGAGTCGTGCTACCTGCTTGCCCATGTAGGCTACAGTCTCTGTCATGGGGAATGCACCAGTAATGCACCTGTTTTGCTGGGACACTAAAAGAGTGGTAAGATGGTGCAGTGAGAAACAAACACCACAATGATTCTGTTGTGAGTGGGCCTACTCTCCAGTGGTGTTGCTCCCAGTCATCAGAACTACAGTGAATTTCAAAGCAAGAAAAGGCATTGTTACTTACTTGAGATGATGCTGTGGTTCCTCTTCAATGCAGACAATAATCCTATGACTTTGCTTTTTCATGCAGTTACCTGGTAATGGAGTTAATGGATGCCAATCTGTGCCAGGTCATTCAGATGGAGCTAGACCATGAGCGAATGTCTTATCTACTGTACCAAATGCTCTGTGGTATCAAGCATCTTCACTCTGCAGGAATTATTCACAGGGTAAGAGGCCTTTGGTTTGAAACTTAAGACAACATATGGCATCATCATGAAGACTTTAGAAACCACTTGAGTTTCTTCTGTACTATGGTTCAAAGCCCTGTCTCCCAGTAAAATTACTATAAACTTACAAGTCATAGTCCATCTCCTTAGCAGAGTAGCTTCGTGCTTGTGTTAGGAACGAGATTATTTGTGAACTCAATGAGACAAAAAGGTAGTGTGATTACTAAAAATAGATAATAACCAAATAATAAGCACTGGAAATCATCAAAGTGATTATGATCTCTGAAACGTGTAGATAAATGTTATTTCTACTGAAAATGCAGCTGGCTACATCTACCACATGTGACATTCAGACACCTCGAATTGATGTTGTAGTGTGGTCTAAGTATTGCTTGATCAGGATCCCCAGAGGTCAGGGCATATGGAATTGTCATTTACCATCACTTACATGTGCTAAAACAAATAAAAAGACTACTAAGTCTATTAAATGCATCCTCTCATTTTGCTTTCTCGTGTCAGAGCGCTGTGTCTGATAAGGATATGGTACCTGGCTGTGAATGCCAGAGGTAGTGCTACGCATAGGTGTTGGCAACAGAGGGAATGGTTCGTGTGACTGTGAGCAGGGGGTGATTCTGAATGGACATAAAATATCCTGAGTTAACTTCTTTATTGAAATGTGGTTTTACTAGTTTGGGATTTCCAGCTGAAAAAGAAACAAATCAGAAAATGTTTCCCTTCCATTACCAGAGGAAGAAAAGAAGAGCTGATAAAATGAGTTACAAAGTGGATGTTACTTTACAATATACAAAGTTTTCCCTTCTGGGCATGTTGTATGTTTAGCAAAAACTATTTGGCTTCCAGCAAAAGATGAGCTGAATTATTATAAATGAAGCATTAAGATATCTCCACATGTACAGTTGGAATATCTCTATTAGGCTCATAATATTTAAAAAAACCCTCAAAACAGTACCCTAATACTAATTCTAGTTCCTTGAACTGCTAAATGCAATGAAGATAACACCAGTACCTGCTAACCAGGTGAAGCCCCACAATATGCCAAGTTAGAACACCTTCCAGAAGAGTTTGCCAGAGAAACAGTAGTAAGGTTTTGCTGTGTATTTACAAGTATTTCTGATAGTAACTGCAAGTTGTCAGAAGAGTAAAAGACTCTTTGAAGGGTGACCTAAAATATCAGCCCATATCACAGCTGAGCCTGGCTTTATGAAGGACAGTCATATGTCTTTTCATTGTCTTTTGCAGGATTTAAAACCAAGTAACATTGTGGTAAAATCTGACTGCACGTTGAAGATTTTGGATTTTGGACTGGCCAGGACTGCAGGCACTAGCTTCATGATGACTCCATACGTAGTGACACGTTACTACAGAGCACCAGAGGTCATCTTGGGAATGGGCTACAAGGAGAACGGTAGGGCTGCGATTTCATAGCAAGCACAGTGCGACCTGAAGCGTAAGGTCTGCCTCTGCAATTGTATAGGGCACCAGAAGGAGGAAAAGAAAACGTAATGGGGAATGACCTCTTGGATTAAAAAGGCAGATCATTTAGAGCAGTTTCTCACTGTTGTGTACTGCAGCTACAGAATGTATTTGGGATGCAATGTCGGCAAATTTATCAGTGTGGGATTGCAGAGTAATGAAAAACTTGTTCTTAGCTATGATGGAACTTAACAAATACAATTAGCTCTTTCTGATCAGGACATGTTTGGCTTCTGTGGCTGTGAAACAGTGTGGGAACCTCTGGAATGGCAGAACGAGTGATGTGTTCTAAATTTGAGTCTGGGTCTCTGAATTGTTAGAAGGAAGAAGAAGAAGAGGTACAAGCTGAAATAGGGAATCCTAGCCCTTCCAGAATTTCTCCAAATCCAGAGCTACATCTGATTTTCAGGAATGGTTTCTGTCTTTACGATAGGTTTAACTAAAGTCCCAGATTTTCCTGACAGGTTTCATGTGGTTAAGGTATAAATTTTGAAGTTTGACTCTTTTTTTTAATGGAAAGTAGAGTTGGGGGGAAAAGGAAAAAGCTGAAGCTAAAAAAACATGCATCAAATTTGTATGTCATCTCCCTAGATGTAAATAGGATTTTGCTCTGAGCAGTCTGTGAGGGATCTGGATACCTCCTGATCCCTGGAAAGATTGTGAAAAGCAGTTAGGGGGTGCTCACTATAGGTATAAGTAAGGAAGGAAGAATTCATATTTTGCAGGAGGTGAAGGGAAAACTTTAAGTGATTCTCATTTTGTAACAAAACTGAGAATTGCTTCTGAGTGCCAGGTAGACTAGGCAGGAAAGGAAGGGATACAACATGTAGTGAAAAATCTGCTGTGACTCAGATTCTGCTGTCAAAAGCTACCACTTGTCCATTTGTCAAGGAGTCTTTTCGATGACGAATTCAGCAAACATCAAAAATAGGAATTCATTAAAGAGTCTCATATTTCATTTATGTTGAAGAGGTTAGCTAACCTGCAGGACAACTTCTACCAACAGCCAACTGCATCCTGTAAAGGGCAGTGAGTCTGATTTTGGGAGTGATTTCATGACTTAAGCAAGAATAAAGGCATGCTCACACAACCTCTTCCAAAATTAGCAAGTCTCTGCATGAATCATTTGTAATGTTTATGAATTTACAGTACACATTTTAATATGGAAGTCTAAAAATTAGAGCAATATTAAGCAGAGTCTAAGTGTACAGAATAGTTTCTGAAAAAGGAATAATCTTCCTCAAAGTATTTTGTAATTGATAATTTTTGTAAGTGCCGCTAAAAGTTCGAACTAGGCTCAGCACGCTTTAGATAGTTCCTTAGTCAATATCCAGAATTCCTTCTATTGTGAAATGAATTATTTTGCCTTTTTTTTTTTCTCCAGACATTTAGTAGGTGATTACCATTGTTGTTGTTATTGTCCCTGAAAGGACAGAGAAAGCACTTGCTTTTCACATGATTAAAATCGCACCAAGAAAAAGTTAGACACGCTTTTGTGATGAAGTACCCAGCTGGGAAGGTACTAAGAATGTTTGCCACTTCCAAAGGTCCCTGATCAAATGCCCATTGAAGTTTAACATAGAGACTTCCTTTGGCTTCCCTGGGCAGTGAATCTGGCTCAAGATGAATGATCTCATCTTACTTGTACAAAGTAAAAATAAAGTAAACAGAGAAGGAAAACAAACAGTTTGAAAATGAAGGTCAGCTGCCTGAGGAGCCGGTCTGCTTGGAGGCTCTCATCCAGCTCCCAAGGAAGTCAACAGAAAGGGTTGTTCTTTGCTTCCCTGCTCCGGCCTGTGCTGCCACATTACTGAAACTCCCTTACTTTTTTTTCCCTCTTATTACGTACACTGCCTGTCTAAGGACTGTTCACTGCTTTCATTTTCTTTCTGCACTTGGTTGGCTAAAGATGCATAATTATCACCAGTTTGCTGCACTTCTGTGGAAGGTCCCAAAACTGTCACTAAGAAGAAAACTCTGCCACTGCCTCAGGCATGCTCTTGCTGTCCCCATGCCCCTGATACCTGTACCCTCCTTTTCCCAAATGGAACATTTCACCTTTATTTTGTTTTACCAAGAAGTGAGTTGTTTGTTTGTTTCTATGGTTTGTTTTGGATTGCTTTTGAAGGATAAAAAGGGGGAAGAAAAAGAAGAGAAACTGGTTGTGGAAGTCAAACATGACCAGGAAATGAGGGTTCAAAGCTGGAAAACAATGTAGTCTTTCAAAGCATTTGAAAGCAGCTTTTTCCCCTTCATGGAATATGGATCTTTCTTTCTGTGCATACTGTGTCACTATCTATCTAGGCTTTTTTCTTGGGAGACTTAGAGGGCAGAAATAACGCCACCCAAGTCAAGCAGATAACGTGACCATATGTCTAAAAGCTGAAGGTAGGATCAGGAAGATAAGAAATGCTCTCAGTCTTGTTGGTCCTTGTCCTGCAAAGCATTTGTTCTAGCATTTAGTTTGAGTACCTGTGCAGGAAAAAAACAGAGTCCGGAGAGGTGATGCTCTCCAGTTCTTTTCAGTTGGTATGTATGTACAGACAGACACGTATAGATAGGTACCTATAGGTAGAACATAGGTACAAATCCTGAAGCAGGAGTTTTAAATAACCCTTAAGGGTGGTGTTTATCCATATGACCTTAACTCATGTGAGCAGTTCCGTTTGGAACCTCTTGTGTACTGCTGCAGAGAGACTCAGTCCTGCAGGACAAAGCCTAGAAACTGCCTGGCTGCAAGTAGGATTTATTCCAGATGATCATTGTCTGGATTTGGGGATTTTTTGCTATTGTTTTTTTCTTTTTTTTTTTTTAAGTTGTTTTTTCACTGTAAACTCAGTGTATACCATGGGTCTGTGCAGTTGTTACTTGTTATTTACTTGCTAGCTGTGGACCTTTTCCCAAAAACGTCGATTTAAAACTTTTTCCACCGTTGTTACTAACTACTGCTGAGCTGACTGACACAGCTTTTACTTATTTATTTATTTATTTTAGCTTTTGGTGAGACATGAAAAAAAAAACAACAACAAAACCACAAAACAAACTGTACTGTTCTGCTCAACCTGCTCTTTTTCCCCTCCTTTAGGAGTGAAATGTTGTAGTTAACTTTGCTTTTTTTCCTCCTTCTTCACTTCCCTGTCTCTGCTGTTCTAGTGGATATATGGTCTGTGGGATGCATTATGGGAGAAATGGTTCGCCACAAAATCCTCTTTCCAGGAAGGGACTGTATCCTTGTGCCATTTGCTGCAGCTTCACCTATTATTTGTTCCTCTCCTCCACCCCATCCCTTTTGCCATGTAATGACCATACCAGGACTGTAAAGATAGAAGCAAAAAGTTGAATCCCAGAGGTATGAGTAAATGAAAATAGCGCATTAGCGATATGAACAAAATTGAAAATGAAAAACAGATGCACAGAATTATTTCAGTCAAATAAGTTACTTCATTTTAAAACCTGTAGTCGTTCCATCTTATGCAGTCTTTATGTCATACTAATAAGCAATATAGAAAACAAACATGATTGCAAATTGGATAGCTGTACTTATTCTTCAGAGGAAAAATAAGAAAAAAAGAAAAGAATCCTGACTTGGCCCATCTGGTTCCTGTAAATCTGTTTTTCTGCTTTTATGTTTTGGAAGTAGTGGCTTCATAACATTTGTGGTGACATCATAATCTTTTGCTTGCTAATGCATCATGGATTTAGATTCATCTCAATGCTGTATGGGCTCAGAGTTGAGTCAATACAACATTTTTTTCTTTGAAACAAAATGAAGAATTTGACTCACCTGGTTTAGGGCAACTGCTTATCTACTGTGGTTTCCAAATTGGCCTGAAATCGATTCTCTTGATTTAAAAATGGACTTTCCTTTACCTGCATGAGGTCTGTGTCATTAATTAAACTGTGTTTCCTTCCCATCTTATTCTTCATGTCTTGAGCAATATTATTTTTACCACTTCCAAGGTGGTGAAAGCAATATTAGAAAATGAAAACAAAAGAGGAGATGTCTACTTAGCCTTCAGTTTTTCACAGGCTAAGCCAGACAACCTACTAGGACGTGTAAGTAATGTGTATTTTGCCCATCAGAATAAAATGCAGCAATATAATGTGTTTTCCACTTTCAGAAACAAAAAGGTGTGTTATTTTCAGCAGGTTGGCAGAAAGACACTATAAAAATCTGGCATCAGCAGACACTGGCAGTTGGTGTGGAGAAGACCCAGCTTTTACAGACACATAGTCAGGGAAGTAATTTTTTTAATTTTGCTGGCTCTTAAGTGATTCCTGAAGTGTTTTATCAGAGTTAGGTCCTGCCTGTCCTATTTTCACAGCTCCGTTGACTTTCTCTGAAAACGGAGCTCTGCCCAGTAGCCAGGTGACGATGCAGTTATACTTTACTAACAGGTACATGGGGAAACTGCAGGTACATCCTGTTTGCTGAGAAGGAAACAGCAACATTGTACTGGCTTCCAGTCTCATGGGAATATGGACTGGAAAGTTATCGGGTACAAAACAGCACAACGAAGTAAGAATGGTGGTTTTAATTATTAGTGAAATAAGAATGGTCTTTACGGATTTTTTTATTATTATTATTAGTGGAATGAGAATGATGTATTAGTGGGTAGCTTTGAGATGTCATTCCATAGGTGCTGAGTTTTTCCTGCAACATGTGGAACAGGCTGTGCACTCACCTTCTGCAGTAATCTGAATGTGCAGAGCAGTTCCCATCATTCATGAGACCTGTAATTCAGTGTGATAGTTATACTTTTTTCCAGTGGTAACAACACCTCGGAAACATCATCATAACTCTTCCTCCAAATGCTGTGCTCTTTTCCTCTTTTTTTTTTTTTAATGTGCAAAGGAAAACTAAACGATCTATAATCTTGAGGTTCAGCTGTAAATACTGAGGATATTTCCATTTAATCTATTTAGAGAGAAGTCTGAGTTTTTAGTTGACAAGCAGCTAGAATACAAAAAAGCTATTTCAGTGTAAAAACATAGCACCATGGTTAGTGGGTTGCTCTCCTTTTTCAAAAACAAATGATATTTAAGAGTCATGTTCTTCTGCCCATTTCCAGAAAAAAAAATTACTCCTATATAATTTAAACAACATGGATTTTGAAAAATCATTCAAATATGAGAATTACTTTGTTTCTGTCTGGCTGTGACAACAATCTCTTATGACAGTGTCTTATTCAGGCATAGCAATAGAATATTTTTAAAATACCTTTTAACATTTCAGTATCAGTTAAAAGTAACGGCTGAATTTTTGAACAATGCAGAAAACATTGTGTAAATTGTGGGATAGTCCTACTTTTTAAATCATTAGAAATCCCATACCCTGAAATGCAGTGTATGTGGTCCGGGTCACAAATGCTGCCACATTTTAGTGGTGGGTTTATTCAGGTGAGTTGAAAGCACTAAAAAAAAAAAAAAAACCAAACCAAAACAAAACACAAAAACCAAACAAAAAGAAAAGAAAAAAATGGAATCTGTACTTTCATTTCCAAGCCAATACTCATTTGTTAACCAGTTTGATCCCATGAGTGAGAGTTTTCAGTGTTAGAAAGACTGGTTTGTGTATGGGTCCATACTATTTCCCCTCCTTCCATGGCTGTTGATGAGCAGATCTAGTTTGCCTTCTAGATGCAGGAAGAGCTGGAGAAGCATTTATGCAACTGCAAGTAAACTTCAGAGAATGACATTACAATAAAGCTTCCCTTGGGCTGCTTAAGGCCTTCCAGTAGTGGGTTTCCTAGCTGAAAGAGTCAAGTCTGTATAGAAACTAAAAATTTCAGTTCTTTTTAATTATTCAGAAGAATGTCCACTGTGTGCACTTGCTTTCAATATAAGGAGCTTACTTGTTTCTAGCCCGGAGCAAGAACATTCATGTATGGCACAGTGTCCATCTAAGAAAAATTTCAGTTCACAGCAGCTGCCAAGTTTTGAGGAATGAAAATTTTGAAAGTTAATCTTGACTAAACCATTGCACTGAGTTACCATTGCACTTAGATGCTGCTGACTTTCAATGGAATTTCATTTTTAAAGTTTTCATGGCAGTTAAAACACAGAGAAGATTAGTTTCAGATCATCTCATCTACATAAATAACAAATTGTCTCTAAGTTACTCCAAGAAAGCTCTGAAATCTTTATGGGCTACGTGTACCAGTATACGATAACTGTCCCGGTTAGTATAAATCTAAGTTACGCATTTCTTAACTTTATTAAAATGCTCTCTGAACACATGTTCAGTTAACTGCTATTTTCATTGGCAAAAAGCCGAACAGTTCTTGAAAACAATCGCTCTGTGAATATTGTTGAGGTATTTAATCCAGTTGACCTAGGAGGACACTAGAGATACTGCAGGGCTAGAAGATCAGTCCATTCCAGTGCTGTCGGTTTGCGATGGGGCAGCTGGTTTTCAGAAAAATAAGAACACCCTCCAGCCTCCTGGAGAGTACTGGGTAGAAATTGTGTAGCAAATACTTCTGTTACTCACCTCAAGCAGACATTTCAAAATACTACCAGGGAGACTTCTTTGTCAGAAGTCAGACCCTCATGAGAAGAAATCCACCTTTTGATCAATTTCCAGATGGATTTACAGACTAAAATATAAACCAGACAGAGCATGAGCAGCTAAAAACTGCCCAAACTCTTGAACACCACTGAAAATATGTTGGAAAACTCCAGGACTTTCCCCAAAGCTGTGTTCAGCTCTAGCTAATATGTCTTCAAAATCTCATAAGATTTCAATTTAAAGATTGGAAATAAATTTCTGTGTATTTTTTTTTAGGAGAAGGAAAAACTTAAATGGTCTGCATGCTTTCAAGTGAGATGATAGATCAGAGCTGCGGAGCCCACAGTGATGTCCCACAGGCACACATAACTTAGTGGGGAAATAAAGCAATCGAAGAGCATGTCTTTTCAGAACTGGGAGGCGTGTAAAGGACAGTACTCTAGCAAGTCCTTCAGCAGATCCAAGGGGAAACAGTGATTCAGTCATAGAAATATATTGTGATAACAGCCAAGTGTCTTAAATTTGGCTAGGCCTGGATTACAGTGGTGAATATGGAAAACAGAATTCCTGCTGCAATTAGATGAGAGCCTAAGACAGTCAAAAAAGAAAATACCATGAAGATAGCAAGAGAGAAAAAAAACACACAGACTTATTCTGTATAACTATGAACATCCAAAATGAATGTGAAGAGAAGTCAGCTTTAACAGATTAAGTTAATATTTTCTGCAGCCAGATTTTAAAAAATTCCTTTGTCGTCAGCTGTCTTTGAGAATGGTGGGATTAAAAGATGCTTTCTGACATCTGACAGAGAGTATTCTATGGTGTTTTCCCAGGAATTTGTATGAAGAAAATTGCTTGCCTTCGTGAAAAAAATTTGAATCAAGCAAGTCTTTTAGGAAAAGATGTTGCCTTTCCACCACTCATTAGCAGAATTTGTCTTTGCATTTGAAATAGGATCTGCATTTATTAGTGGGTATAATCCTAGTATTTTGCGTGCATGTTGGTGGTTTTCTTAAACTTTGGTATAATAAAACATCTGCACTTTTATTCAGTGCGGTCTGTCTTTTTTCATGTTCCCAGTAGTATTTTCTTAAGGCTTGTTTTGTCTTTTAAAAAACCCAAACCAAACCAAACAATTTGAGCAACGTGGTCTAGTGGAACTCACGGCAGGGGAGTCGGAACTAGATGGTCATTAAGGTCCATCCCAACCCAAACCATTCTATGCTTCTATGAATTAGTGTCAGGATTATTTAAAAGAGACTATTAAGAATGGCTGGCCTGGCTCTCCAGGTTGGTTCAGCTGGTATGTGTTAGCCTGCTGCTTCAGTGTCTGTTAGCCACGATGGCATTGATGGCTGAGTTTGGATTTTGTTCAGCTGGATGATTTCTCCCTGTGTATATGGGATTTGGTTTTGGACTCAGGATTTTTCTGAGAATATAACAAGAGTTTGAATTTTGATGATTTTATTGGGGGAAGTGCGCTCATATGAGATGAGATCTGTCTCAAAGAGACTTCAACGTAGCTGTGAAGATGATTTGGCTGTTGCTATTCTTCTCTTTTTTAATTCAGATATGTATACTGTAGCAGTTTGTAGTGCAATTTGCACTTAACGTAGGAGCCCCATGCTGTCTGTGATCTGACTGGCATTTGGAGTGGATCCCAGCTGCTGCAATGAAGATAATCCATAGCTTGTTTCCCAACACTCACCTTAAAGATTTTCAGCATGAGTCTGAACATGCAGTTTCAAAAGTGGCCAAGTGTTGAGGTGTAGATATGCGCTACACCTACTGCTGCCTCATGTGAACTTC